ACATTCAACGCGTCCGATGATGAAGGTTGCAACGCAGCAAATCAAACATCAGCACCACTTTCGAAGGGGGGTTTGCAAAATAATTAAGTCCAATTATCCGTCCCCTGCTGGGATATGCTCTTTGATTACGGACGAAACCCAGGGCATAGTGGAGTGATGCTGCGGTGGTGGGAGCGAGCTGACACAAGATCCCACCGGACAAACCTTGGCGGGCCACGCACGCTGAATCAGAGCCCCTGCTGCTCGGATCATCTGTTGCCGTGACATGGCAATTCTTTCAGGAGTCATTACAAAAAGGATGTAAAAATTGCTGCACGGACATCAAAAGTATTCAGGAAAAAGCGGAAGCGATGTGTAAAAGGGGGTCTTTTACCTACAGCGAGGTTTTGCGGGGAGGGTTAAGTGGCAGCTCGGCCAAGCAGGTGGTGTTCTCCATCACGTTTCGTCATGGGAATTACTCTCCTTGTTCGAGAGAGTGACAAATACTAGAAGACCGTGCAGCCAGGATACTTAAGCAGATTAATCTATAAACGTTGACCGTGAACTAATTCTATTGCTGAGTTTTAGAAAGTACATTTTATTACACATAGGGCCTAAGCCTTACTGGATGGCAATTTTTTTCAAGGCACCACAATCGTACTATTTGCATTTTTTTTGCCAAATAAACTAAGCAGCCCTTCGCAACAAATTGTGGCAAGATCTTCTACGATGATTCACACAATTACTGTATTCATTGGTACAAAAAATGGCAAAACAAAAAACAAATAATCTTAATTAATTCACTTGGCAAATTTGAGTTAATAAGTTGGTTGGTCACTGGTGATAACAATAGTTACTTATGCCAATTTGGTGGGACAGATTTGCTGGCCTTTACAACGATGACATGTGCCAGGGCATTGAGCACAGTTGATCCCATGTACATGTACACGTGCGCTTCTCCAACGTATACGAAAGTTTGCAGGTTACCAGGGGCGAAGCGACTGGGGTGGGGGTGTGGCATCCCCCGTAATAATAAATAATCCAAAATTGGTATATAAATGATACACACTGGCCATTGGCATTTCCTATGAAGCATGAAATGTAGCGTACCACGGATTTGCATTTTACACGACATGAGGTTGGCGAACAAGTTACAAGTCAGAAAGTTGACTCTTGCACAGCCCCCACAAGAAAAATCCTTCGCTACGTCCCATGCAATACGGTCTACAGAAAATAGATTTCTGCCTTATCCCCAATAGCTCGATTGAGTTTAAATGCCTATTTTTTTAAACTGTTTTAGTTTCATTTTAAATTTTAAAATGAAACTCGATGAAGTGCAGAAAAATCTAAAATGTATTCCCTGTTGACTAAATTCCTTGAAAAAAAAACACGAAAATAAGCAAGTCTGTGTGGCAGATCATGGGGGACAAAAATAACTCGAGGGACAGGATCTGGAGTGGAAAAGAATGAACGGACCATAGGACACTTTTACCCAGGTATTAATTCCGTCTCCCTGGACAGTTTTACCTGGGGACGGATTTACCGTGTCCAGTTGCACTACTTTCCCTAGGGGTACAACCTGCTTTTAAGTGTATAAACGTCATACATAAAGGGTGGTACCAGGGGTTACAGGCCGGGGGGGCCTTCCCTTATTTCCAGCTCCCGTAGTTACGCCCCTGGCAGTGAAACAACACAATATGTCCAGTTTCTTTCAGTGTGTAAATGAGATTCCACCTGCACACTATGCTCTCTCACATCGCTCTGTGCAAAGACTTTAGAGGGCGTTTTTTTTAATAAAGATCTCAAGAGAAGAATGGTGAATTCAGTCGTTTCTATAAGACCACCTTTTTCAATGCTGTTGTTCTCATTTTTTGGCTCCCGATTGAGGATAAGTCTTTTTATGTCGCCAAACCCTGTCTGCAGTACGACCAAGAAAAAGATGAAAGAGGAACGACAATATTTTCAATTTCATGGCAAAAACGCGGAGAGTAATGTCCAATTTTACATCCCAGTTGGGCATTCGTATTTTTCCGCAAATTGTTGGATACATACCTACACAGCGGCAGACACCGAATGAAGCACAAAGTGATGGTCCATGCCGCGTTGCCGCGGTTTTCAAATTGTTTCAGTCCTGATTCAGTGCTTTAGTTTATTCAGAAAAAATACAAGTAGAAAAACCAAAAGTTCGAAATCTCAAATCCACTTCAAAAATGTTCAGACCCAAGTCGATCAAAGAGGTTTCTAAAGAAACAGCGTTTATGTGCTTATCCAAGGTGTTAAGGAATATATCACATGATGGAATAATGGACGATGTAGGGCTTACATCACCAAACCTATGCTGGTTATTGTAATATAGCACCTATGGATATAGCAAATACAGATTTTGGGGGCTTGTTCAAATATTATAGAAATAACAGTTACCGGTATTTCAGAACAAGACAATCATAGGCCTACAATGAGCAATTTGCATCATTTTACTTAGCCTAGCGTTATGTGTAAACAACGTTTGCGTTTTTTACCTAAGATTTTGTTTTGTCAATACTAGTTTGATTTACATTATGGGACAAAAGGTTTTAAGACTTCAAACATTTGGTGTTTGTGTGGAGAACAGTATTTGCGTAGAGAACAAACAATTGTTTAAGTACATGTAGGCATAATCATGCAATGGCTTGGCTTTTACGTCATATAATATCAGACTTTGAGACACTGGTGGCGGCAGACATATCGGTCCCTTTTCACAGTGGGCAAGTTCGATCATGGAACATAGTTTAGTTCGGCTAACTCTGATTGAACGCAGGCTATATAATTGACGATGGTTGGACTAGTCTAATCAACTTTTCGCAACCAGCCTATCCAGGGGCAAGTTCGAGCGTCGACTATAGTTTACTATAGTTCGAGTAAAACCACCCAAGCGACGGATAGTTTGGACAATCTAGACGATATTTTGGGGCCAAGCCCAGGGTATGGTCGCACTGTTGGTTAACATGTAGCCTTATTCATTTATCATTACAGAGGGAACCATACACATGAAAATAATTGTACGAGATTTCAATGACCATGTACTCTGCCAGAATTGTAGCCAACGGTGAAATGTGGGTAACGGTGAGATAAAAAAAAATTGACCGACTAGGGTCGTTTGGGTGTAACTGAATTCGGCATGCGCATTGTAAAAAAGTAATTCACTAACGGTCGAACTGTAATTCGCGCCCAAACTTGTCCGAGGTTGGTTGCATTGTTGGTTGCCATACATCGTTATTTATAGCACAGCGCAGAGAGGACCAGTTATAAGAAAAATGCTGGGAAAATAGTATGTCACTGGTTATAAACGACCATTTTCACTTTTATTTGTGCTATTTTGCCCTTCCTGCGGCCACCTTTTCTCCTATTCGACCTAATGACCCAACAATGTTTGCGCTTGAACTTCACTGCACATGCGCTATGCGTACGTGACCTACGCCACGAACCAAATAGTTAATTAACTTGCAAAGTATTGCATCCGCCCTGTGCGCGCATGCCCAGAACTAGTAAAAAGCACCAGTATGTTTGTCGCCACCAATCATCTCAAAGTCTCCAATTGCGTTAGGCACGCGCTACCATGCAGTCACATTGTATGACCACACACACCTGGCGAACAAAATTGACAATCCTCTTGTTCACAATTTATAGGATTTGTTTCGATGACTCAGAGTAAGTTACAATCATAATCCCTTTGACGTCTTGACTTCGGTAAGGAATAACAAAACTTATTTTACCATGCATCCATTGGGTGTAAAAATTCAATTGTTGAATTAATCTTCGTATACATGTGCACTTCAATGCACGGCAATGACGAAAAGCCTTTTCTTCAAAAACCACGTGTGTCTCCTCTGAAAATGGTCTTAGGCAGGGACTGAAATAAACCCAACAGTAGACATGTTGACTGTGCACACTGACTACCCAGGGAGTTTCTGGACATGTTGCTTCATAATACAGGTTTGAACTATAAATGAGGTTAGTTGACCCAAAACCTTTGGACCATTATAATAAGCAAGTACTCTCTGGTAAATTACTGCCGTAACTTATTCATCGTGTTTTCGAAAAAAATTACAACGAATTTAAAAGGATACTCAGGCTGCCTTTAATTTAAAGCAAACAGGACTTTGACTATTGAAACCAAAGTCTTGCTGATTTCAATGACATAAGCAAGAACAGGTGTCTGGAACTATTGGGCCTAGTGCCAATCTGATTACTATGGTTATCTCTAAAGCTGACAAACGAAACGAAACCAAATCACGTCAACTTAAGCTGCGCACTTTTGGCCAATAAAATTCTCAAACACAGTTTTTTCATGAGGCAAATATCAGGAACTGAGTGCCACAATTCAAGTTTGAGACATCAATTTAAACTTGAAAAGAGTTGTGCCTGCTCCATTTCGTACCAGAAGTGAGCCCGATTGATTTTTAATAAAGGAGCTTATGATTATACTGGCATATGGAAAACAGGACCATTGGCTGTTTGCTGTTTGATTGATTAATGGAGAGAATGGAGGATTGTGGTTTGATTATGGAGAAAATGTACCCAGTATATACATGTAATCGATACTGCGTAAAAGACATATCTGAAGTTCGCTTTCTTGTAATGAAAACTTTTTCAACAGGCCTCGGCCTATGCAGTTTTGAGACTCTCTTACACTGTATTTGTCTCAAATATTCGTATGAAATACCTGGAGTTATTAGTTCCTATTACTGGATATTTTATGCGCTGTTCACGGTCATTTATATAACTATATATGCTTCTGAGGTCGAGAGGGGATATTATCCCTAAAATTATATTGTATAATTTACTTGACGCATTCATATTGGAACTGTAATGGTAGGTCAATGCCACAAACTCACCTGTCACTTGCATGTAACTTCCTCAACTTCACGCCCCCCCCCATGCAACAAGATACACTCAAAAATTGTGCCAGTAAAAAGTGCGTGTTAAGTGTGTGCCATACGTGTGTCTATGTCTGTCCAATAATTGTGTGGTTGATGCCTTACCGGTTGGGATCACCTGGACTGGATGGGACACGGCAACCGCCGGGCTGATGGAAGCCAGCTGGTGGGGTTGACTCTGCAGATCCGTTCCGGTAAGACAGCAACCTCAGCAGAGCCACAGTCAGTAACACAATCCGCAGCTCGCCCATTGTTTCCATCCTTCTCAGAGGAACTAAGTTTAGAAGACAAACAGTCAATGTCTGCGTGGACGCCACACTTTAGTCTGCACGGTACACTTCGAAGCGGACCGTTGGCAGAGCGGAGAGACACATGCGATCCGAAGTTTGTGGACAGGCAGGGTGTGGTCCACGCAGAGGTATCTTAACTTAGAGGCGGTAGTTGACGCCGGTTCCAGAGTGTGACATTCAGTGCGAGCTGCACGGAAATGGGGCGGTCTTTAAACACTCCGTTTCAACTCTCGCGAAACAATGCGCACTTTGGAATAAAAAGTGGGTGAGCATTCACGTAGGCCTACACCTGATGACCCGGGCCAACTGCTTGGATTACTCATCCTGACTCGGTGTGACCAGTGGGACAGGAGCTCCGAGAGACGAAACAAACTCAGCAACTAGTTGAATACTAGGACCCCAAATGGGTATCCTTTCCGTCGGTTAATGGCCCGTATCCGCTCTGGGATGGCGACCACGCGATACCAAGAACGGGGCGGGGTGAGTCACGCGCCCTCTCCCCTACCGCGGAACGAGCGGCGTGGCCATCACCGGAGAGGCGTTTGTGAGAAACAAAGGGGCAATTACCGCTTGATGCGGCCGATGAGTCATTGATGGAAGAGTTGATTTGTACTGTCTAGCGACTCCCAGATCAGTCGGAGTCTTAGAAGAGTGATCTATGGGTGTCAGGAGGCATTTGCTTCTGTGACATTGTAGTGGTAGAGGAGAATCCTTCACACCAGTCGAAAGTCACTAACCATGCTAGGCCTCTCAGCGATTTCAAGTTGAGGCTCACTCGACAATTGCATACGAGGGGTAAAACACCCTCCAACCAGGGGTTATATTGATTAACATCACACTGAGCAAAGTTCATAATCAAAAATGCCGAGAAGTAAGGCTTTGCCTACCATTTTTCAATGAGACCTGATAATTTCACAGATCGTGACAAAATCAATTGACTGCACCTACAGCGAAGGAAAAACTCACTCCCTTCAGAAGGCTGTGTCAGACTTTCCGGAGTCATACTCCTCAAGAGCAATCGCTGAAATTTTTCTCGAGCAGCTGCTAAGCCTTTCAAAGGAGCCCATGCTTTGGAGAATTAGAAAATCTGAACCCCGTTAAACGAATACGAGGTATTACACAGCTCTTGAATAGTTAAAAAAGCGTCTTATTTCTGATTCATTCTTTCTCTCCAATTGACCACCTTGTTACAAAAAAAATCGATGTTGATCTGATTCGTCATTTCTACTCCAACCTCAAATAACCATCGGAAAGGCGGAGACACTTGCATTACCAACTCTAGAGGCCAATAACTACCCACATGACATCTTGTTTGATTGCAATGTATTTGTCACTATTTTAATAAGCACTTTCATCACCGGATTTTCTTTTAAATTCACCGTCTCGTTGTAAGTTAACAATTTTTAATAAGTCCAAAAAAGTGGCTCATGTATAAATGACAGGGTTAAATTTGAAGGTACAGATGACAACATGGGCCTCTCTGTTATGCTGCCAACGTTGGGTTTATACTCAGATTGACGGAAAATCACCACCACACTAAAATATTATTTCTCAAAAATAAGAAGTTATACAATACAAGTGGGCTATCTCTATCAGTCTTTTCCATGGTATTTCGTCGTGCTAGAAGTAAGGGCTGCCAAGAGTGTGAGAAAATATGTATGGCAATGCCGCTGCCAACAACACGATCAAATTATTCGTTCACCACAAAAAGACAGGAAATATTTTCTTTGCCATGTAAGGAAAATATTTCAGCCTGACAAATGTTATATGGGTGTGACAGCGTGAGGAAATCATGATATGCAAGAGTCTCTCGCTCAATGCGTAAGAGTTGGCTACCCTGCTCATAGATGAAATACATTCATTAATGTAGGATTGCAAAGTTGAAGTTTAGGTATCAAGACGGCAGGCCAAGGAGCAGCCTATGACTAAAATGTAACTGAAGCCTATTGAGAAATGTGGTTAAAATTAGAAGTCTGCCGCTGACAAGGCTGCCTGGGTCTCCAGGGATAGACTAGCATACCACTCATCATTGATGCTTTCTTGGCAAGGATGTCCAGGACTGCAGGAAGGCTGCTGAAACAGATAACAGGAACTATCCAATTCTGTTCCTGATGGAATTGTCACATCTAGGGTATCCCACCTCAGTTTTCCCCATTTCAAATTGCACAATGTACAAATCCCAGATATTAGTAAATAAAATTAACTGATACTTAATTTAAATATTGACAAGAATATAATATAAATCAGTGCTCTGAAACTTGTAATTGCCGAGCTTTTGGTAACTGAGTACCTTCTTCAGAACCGAATCTGCTTGCCCTGAAGAAGGGTTCTGATCACGGTGCTACGCAGCCCTTCCATATTTCACTTAATTTAAATAGATGGCGACGAGCAAATGCTACAACTAGTTGTAGCCAGAACATACACAAAATTCCACACGATCCCCTGAACACATTACAGGCAAAAAAAATCGAGTCATGCAAAAAAATATTACGCAGCAAAATTTCTGGAAATATCAGGGTAATGAGCAATCTGAAGAATGTTCTACTCACATAATATGCTTTTTAACATTCTGAAAACCTCATGCCTCCATACGTTAGTTGCATGGTCTACCGTCCTTTGGGAAAACATCAGCATGATTCAGCAAACATTTTATGTAGTGGACGAAAGCGGTTTGTATTAGGAGTATTGTGGGCCACCTTGGTCATACAGTCCCTTTTTTTGGGCAAAACTCAAGTGTACACTGAAGTTAAATTGTCTCTTCAATCATCGACTGTGTATATTTATATGCAAATATATTCACAACATATTCCTTTTACTTACAAGTATTAAAGCGTAGCCTTTAACAACTTGATTCTTTTTTAATTCGGCTGTTTGTTTACATACACATATGAATAGGTGCTCTAAGTGCGAGACAAAACAGAACTTCCTTCATTTCATCGTGGTGTCATACACTGGAATGCACTTACCAGCAACACTGGTTGAAAACAACCCACTACTCTAGCTACTAAAGAACTGAAGAAATTACTTGCTTATCTTCGTTAAATCAATTATGCACTTACAAAGTCTTACCTTAAACATAACTATAATCCGTATGCTGTCTTAAGTCTTGAAAGGCACCAAAACGTTCACGTCTTACCTTTCTGTTGACATGATTGAATGTTAGCATTAAACACCAATCAAAGGATAAATATAACGAATAAAAAAGGCAGAGAAGACGTGCCTGTTAGGGGTGGGAGGAAAGCCTGGACAAATGTACTATGGAAATGCTATGGAATCACATAGGAGCCGAAAACTCAATCATATGCTGACCTAAGTGGTATTCAAAGCCTAGGTTGCAGAAGGTTGCAGGCGAGGAAAGACTCACTGTACTCACCTCTCATGTCAATACACCAACCTAATTCTCATGCATTTAAGTACCTACCATCTCTAATAAAGTTCTGAATGGTGTTTCTTCATTAACTATCTCTGAACTGTCATTAATGATGTTAATGGAAAGATCAATGTGGACCTGATTTGATCTGCATGCGATCAGTTTGTCGATAATTCCGCCATTGGCCCATTTTCTTTCTAATTCACAGTTGTGAATGATTATTTTACCAGAAAGAAATTAAAATGGGAGATTTCAATCATACAGAGCAATCAGATGATGGTGCAGATCGACAAATCGTGCCCAACAGTTACATTCTACAATTTGTTCTGGACCTTAATAAAAAAAAGTTATGATCAATATAAATTAACTTTCAAATGTCTTTTACTGACAATAAATATTCAGCTTCCTCCTGTAATTTTTGGAGATTTTATGAGAGCAGTGTGTGTATGTATTAAGCTACTGGCTTTTCATATTAATTTTCGAAATGTAGCCTGAGAATACTCATATACATGATGGTATGTGTCACTTTGTCCCCAAAGTTACTGACATTTGGTGAAGGACATCACATTACATTTTATATTAGGTTAATCTTTTCTGTCACAAAACATTTTATCTATAGTATGACAGTGCTTATGCCAAAATGTATTTACCTTTAAGGAAAGTGTTCATTTGAAAACTGGCATTTTATTATTTCTGTTTTGCTTGTAATGTCATCCTCTTTTTTAACCTTAAAATTTATAGAAATAGGTAAATGTGTGCAAATAATTGCTCAAAGCACTAGTTTCTAGTTGGTAATTTAACCTGTATGTGATAGCACTATTAAGTTCCTAGAATTGAATGAGCAAAGATAAAGGAAGGAATCTTGGTTATTTACTTTAAAGGAGAGATGCAGATTATCACAAATGGTCAGTTAATACAAGCAACAAAAAAGTCGGATCTGCAGGTCAGCGGTCTGACTTTCCTGGATTATACTGCATTGTTAAATTGATGAGTATTGTACAAAAAAATGTCCTGCTCTGGAAAAACTTGATCGATGTTGGACATTTGAAATCAAGTTACTGCCATTTGGATATGAAAAGGATCATAAATTAATGCAAAGAATAACAAACTGAGATAAATTCTTCCTTTCTATTTACAAAAGGATGTGTATGTAACTATATTTTTCTCCATGCATCGTGAACTATACTAGTGAAGAATGTTTGTGACTGATTTTACATCAATTGCTTGAAGTAGCTTGATGATCCAACTAAGCAACAAGGCAGCTTAACAAACGACATTTAAAAATGCCCATTTTCTTATCTACACGATCTTAAGCAGAGGCTCTGAAAATGAGGGAAAAAAGGAAGTATCACTATGCAACTTGCACATTCATGCAACAGTGTGAAATGTAAAGTTTACAACTGGGGATTTCTGTCACCAAGATAAATTTCTTTATGGAGTACCAAACTTGATGTCATTTGAACCAGGCAGTGTAGTGCAAATGGATGGAGTACATGTGAATGTTGGTTCACACACTGGTTCCCATGCTAATGCCTTTTACACACATAATTCTGCATGTGACGTATTCAGTTTGGTACTCAAGAATTAAAAAAAGAAAAGGCAATGGAATCTGGAAAAGAAAGCGATGTGCAACAATTAGACAAGGACAGCTTGGTTGCTTGCTTTCTACATTTGCTGTGTGGAATTACCATTCCATGTATTATTGTCATCGTCATCGTCCTGTGCTGTCACCAGGCGATGGACATTTCCCTCTTGCCTGGAGACTGACCCATCACCTCCTGGGACTCGTCTTCTGACCTGGGCACTGCAAGGAGGAAAGAGAAGAGGGAGAAATGAATTACTCAGCTTAGAGGGGCAATCCTGCATGTGGCTCTTAGAATGATCCTAAGGGTGAACTTAAACTGAGTCAAACAGGGGAAAAACTGTCACAAACATGTACGCAGTGGAATTGGTCACATGAGCTTTGAAATTTGAAGAATACCTTTGATCTCTGTAAGATTTTGTGCTTTGAAGATTTACTTATGCTGTCCAGTTCAAAGAAAATGCCTTTACAGATTCAGCCAGAAATAAGTATGCTCTTGGTACAAGCCAGGGAGACCCATTGCAGGAGGCCGCAAACCACAGAGCTATATGTATAAAAGAACTAGAGCGCTAACGTCTCATTCTCCATGCGGAGAAAATTTAATGCTGTCCTGGGCGCAGACATTTTGAATCCATGTACGTGCTTGTAGAACATTCAAAATCAGATAGAATGGGTATCAAATTATGTATTCCAAATACAACGCTCAAGTACAACATCCGTAAATGTCAGCGCATCTTTTGAATAAGGCGCACACATACAGAGCAATGGCACATG